CGCTTTGGTTTCTGACACCGCGTAGACCGTTCAATCTGTTCAGTCGAGGCTGCCTGAGCCGACGGCTGCGCACTGGGACGCTGAAAAGTTCAGGCCTTAGCTTGAACACTGCTTTGCAACATTCAGCCTAGGTACATAATGAAGCTGCTCTGTCGATGGGCAGTAACTTCCAACGTTCATGCCGACTCATCACCCAGGCATCGGCAAAACATTGGTACACCATCGCAAAGAACAAATCGAGACAACGATGCGGTAAAATCAAAAAAAAATTGGAGATCAATCGAAAACGCGATCGTGACAGCATTGGTAAAATCGAAGAATCAACGGGGATATCACCGAGTTCCATCGGGTAGCGATCGGGGAACACACCCATGCTGTGTAGCAGGTTGTGTATGCGTGTTTGTGGCCCCTAGCTTCTGAATGGGCAGGCCGCTCGCGCTTTTGCCTCCGCTTTTTCAGACCTGGTACGCCTCGAAGCTGCGCGTGAGGCCGCGACGCCAAAAAGTTTATGTGTGAACGCGTGTGTGTGTGTGTGTGTGTGTGTGTGTGTGTGTGTGTGTGTGTGTGTGTGTGTGCGTGCGTGCGTGGAGACTTGTAACCACAGACCTGGTTTGCCCACCCGGCAGGACGGACACCGCAGGCTCCCTGCCCTGGTCGGACCTGGTCGGTGATGGTTCCCAGGCCAGAATCTGAGAGTACGGCTCAACACCGTCCATCCCAGGAAATGCCCTGCATTTGATCCACCTGCTTGTGCACCGATGAGGTGCTTGCCGTGTGGGCGCGCCATCCACCCCAGGTGGTGCGCCCTCCTCCCTCTTCCTAGAGGCGTGCCATCCACCCCAGGTGCTGCGCCTCTCCTCCACCGCGGCGCTTGCCATCCACGGCAGCGCCCCAGCTTCAACCTGCTTGTGCACCCATCAGGTGTTCCGTTTCCCCTTTTGGGGCGCGCCATCCACCCCAGGTGGTGCGCCATCCTCTCTCCCCCCGGGGCGCGTCACCCACCCCAAGTGGTGCGCTCCCCTCCCACGCGGCGCCGCCCTTCGGCGGTGCCACTGCTGACACACCCGCTTGTGCACCGATCAGGTGCGTCCACATAAACCGATACCTAGACGTGCTGCTTCCCTCCGCCTGCTGGGGAGCTGCTTTCGCCGGCAGCTGCATGGCCCCCGCTTGGCGCACACGCCGCCAAGCCGAGCCTCGAGTGCCTCCCGTCAGCCATGACCCTGTGCTGGCTGGCCCGCGGTGTTCGGAAGCTGGGCGAGGGCTGGCAAATCCGTGGCTGCTAAAACGGTCGTCCCGGAAGAAAAAAACAAATCCCCGGAAGAAAACCCAGCGCGCTGAATAGTAGACGGGCTGCTTCCCCGAAGAACAGAACAATATTTCCCGGAGCTCCGTCTTAGCGGCCACGGGTTTGCCAGCCTTCGCCCGGCTTCGGAGGTGCAGGGAGACGCCCAGCTGCCAATTGGACATGCGCCTCTGCGCCCAGCGACCCCTTTTGGCCTCCCGGCGGCCTCGCTGCGAGGGGCCTCCGCTCTCCCCCCGCTGGGGCGGGGCGCCGCCCGCCGCTGGCTACGAGGCGTGCCCCGGCCCGCTGCCCCCCCCTCCCGATCGCCAGTGGCAGCGGCGCGGTCACCCCGCCCTGCCGCTGGCCCTCCACGCAGCTGCCCGGGTTCCCGCGGTCCCCCTGCCGCCGCCCCCGGAGGTCCGCACCGGGTCATCGCCGCCCCCTGTTTCGCAGCGGGGTCACCGCCGCCCCCCCCCTGTGTCGCAGCGGTGGCTTGCTGGGCGGTGCGTGTGTGCGTGTGCGTGTGCGTGTGCGTGTGCGTGTGCGTGTGCGTGTGCGTCTGCGTGTGTGTGTGTGTGTGTGTGTGCGTGTGCGTGTGCGTGTGCGTGTGCGTGTGCGTGTGCGTGCGTGCGTGTGTGTGTGTGTGTGTGTGCGTGTGCGTGCGTGCGTGCGGGTGTGTGTGAGTGTGTGTGTGTGTGTGCGTGTGCGTGTTTCGTTGTGCGCTCGTGTGCGTGTGTGTGTGTGTGTGTGTGTGTCCGGATGTGTGTGTGTGTGTGTGCGTGCGTGCAGGTGTGAGTTGTTGCGCGTGTGTGTGTGTGTGTGCGTTTTGTTATATGTGTGTTTGTGTGAGTGTGAGTGTGTGTGTGTGTGCGTGCGTGCCTGCGTTTGTGTGAGCGTTTGTGTGCGTGTGTGCGTGTATGCGTGTGCGTGTGTCGTGCGTTTCCCGTGCAATCCGACGGTCAGCTTCGCTCGACGCTCGTTGCGGTTCACTGCCTTCGCGCGCCTCCACAAAAAGGTGGATGACCACCTTGCCTCTGGCCGTGCTCGATACTGCCGCTGCTTGGACCACGCTTGCACGTCGGAAGAAAAAAACCTAGGAAGCAAAAGGTGAATCCCCGGCGATATCGCTTGCCCAAAGAAAAAAATGCTTATCGTCGGCGGCGTTCTCCCAGGCGATATCGCTGGCACATAATTCTAAACATCGAATAACTCATCAGTTTTGCCTCGAGGAACAATCTCGACGGAAACTCGAAGGAACCCTAGAGGAATCTAAGGAAATTAAAGGACGCGGGATCGCGATCGCGTGGACATAGGCAATCCCGATTGCGAACACAAGCAGACATTTATCATTTCAGGGGATGCGATGGGATAGATAATCCACTGAAAGATATCGCAAATGGACTCCGCGACGCCCCCCCTCGCGATACACGAATACATTTATCACATTGTACCAGAGGAAAAACTTAACCAGTGGATGGTTTGAAAATCATTAGTATGGATCTTGAGATCGATTGTGAGATCGATAGTGTAATCGATAAAGGAGACGATTGTCAGGTCGATCGTGAGACCGAGAAAAAAATCGATTCAATGATATCGATAGTGATAACGATCGCGAGATCGCTCGTGCGATCTAGAATGAGATCGCTTGTGAGATCGATAATGAGATCGATTGTGAGATCGATGGTGAGAACGATAGAGAGATGGGCAATGAGATCGATTGTGAGACCGATCGATAAGAAGATCGACCAAGAACCCAAAGAACCCGGGAACTCCGCCGCCCACCGAAATCGGCCCAAAACCGGGAACCGGGAACCCGAAACCGGGAACCCGGGAACCCGGCCGCCCACCGAAATCGGCCGGAAACTTTCGCCAAGTCCTGCAATGTCCACTATAGGACCCCTTCAGTACAAGCACTGATTGGGGAACAATAATAAATCCACCAGTGGCGTGAAACTATCCAATAATGTAAGCAAGCAGAAGCGTACTAAACACATTTCAAGGACATGCCTGAACAAGAAGCTCAAACTAGGAATCATGGTTCAACAAGTGAAATGAGTTTTTGTTCTTAGAACAAGAATGATCTAAACAAAAACATGGTGGGAATAAAGGATCGCGTCTGCAAGCTGAAATTAGTAAGTGGAACAGAATCGAATACACATTCATACATTGTGAACACCATGTGTGCATAACAAACAACGCATTTTTATCTTTTCGTAGAATGAAAAGCGCAATTGACATATCACTACGGGCCAAGAAGAACACATGTAAATTAAGATGTCCTACGTGTGATGAAGTTATACCACCTTATGCCTCACATCGACCTAAACGAATAGATTTGATAAGTAAAAAAAGAGTTCAGACATACACCGAACACCAACACGTATTCACAATGAAATCTCGGGAACGTATGCTTTAGTTCTAGTCATGTGTACCAGCTACCTAACACAGTAACGTTTCACCAGAACTAACGACGGCAGACATGGGAACTCATGAAGATACATAGGGATACATAGCTGGATGCAAACATAGTATTTGGCACGCGTGAAGAATCTTAGGACAAATCGGCAAAACTTACAACAAGCAACCTATCCCGAGCACATTGAACATCATAATTTAACAGTGTAGATCATACTTCAACCTGGGACTTCAGATACCAAAACTTTCACTTCAACCTATTGAACAACATCAGCACGCTTCAACACATAGTAGCATGCCCATTGTCAACAAACTAGAAGCATCGCAAAAGGAATTACTGAGGATCCCAAACATATTCTCAAAGGAATTCGAAGCTGGCGCAACTCTCCCTCCACCCACCTTGGGTAGAATCCCCAGCTCTGAGCGCCTGCCAAGGGAATCCGCTGGGATCCATAGCAAGGCCGTCCTCGGAACCCTCCTTCTGCTCCTCCTGCCCGCCTGAGAGGGCCTTGGGTCGCGGGCCTGCGCGGGGAATATCGCTTCCACTCTGGCTCCAGTGCCAGAAGCGTTGAAATTTCCGCAGATGAGGGGGGGGGGCACAGCAGACGCTCGGTGGTAATTGATCCAGGCGTGTCCCGCCGTAGAACTCGCTGCGTTAGTCGTTTGGTCTTGCCTCCTGCGAAGCCAGCCGGCAGGGCCCCCAAACGCATCGAGGCCGACCGATTCCGACGGCACAAGGAAACGCGGCACCACCACCAGCTCGAGGTGCCAGAGGGGGTCCTCCTGGTGGGGTGGTCACCCCTCCGCGCTCGAGACATCATCCATCACCGACTCGGGAAGGCATCGTGGATTTCCTCGCCGGAGGTGGCAACCGTGGTCGTGGTGTCACTGTTTTTTCTTCCTATCCTGGGACGCCCCACGCGCTTTCCGTCCACGGCACGGCGTACGAGCTTGTGATTTCCCTGCGGGTGTCGAGGGTGCGGCTACATGTGAGCGTTCACACTTCTGTTCTTCCCGCCGTTCATAAGGACCACATCCAAGAACTAATCTCCAGCACCCAAACAAGTACATACCAAAACAGTATCTACCAGACACGCTGGCGACGCGAGTAAAAGAAGGTCGCCTCCCAGGGCCTGACACGTGAAAACCCTCCAGTTTCGGTACATTGATGGCGCTCGAAACTCTTTCTGGTTAATCGAAGCGTAAACAGGTTGGAACATCATACATCAAATCGCACCCGCATCTGCCAATGTAGTGGACCTTGACGGACGACCATCGGCGGATGTGGCGACGGCCAGTCCGGGATGGTCTCCGCCAGCGCGAGCAGCTCCTCTCGGCCGGGGGGGCGGAATATTCGAGATGCTACTCATGGGTGTTCGCAGAGGGGAGGCCAAAACTCAACTCCCAGATGACTCCACCGTGCTCCCTGGCACGCTGACGCATGGTAGAATGCCACGTGCTGCCTCGTGAAGCTTCTGTAGTCTGCTAGAAGGGGCGACCGCCCCTCCCAGCGAAACTCTGCATGCATCGCCCCACTCCTGACGCCACGATCTCTGGTACTAAAAAGGTTCCGCGCTCCCGAAGCAACGATCCCTCGTAAAAAGCAATGGCTCCGAAGCCACGACCCCTCTTGAAAAACAATGGATTCACGCATCCGGGCTCCCGAGAGGGACGGGGCAGGCATTCACAGACGGCCCCAAATGCCTCCAAGGCGGCACCAGATGGCCCCCAAGGAGGTCCCCAGGATGGTCCAGTAGGGTCACAAGTCAACCCCTAAGCATGGCCAGAGGAGGCCCAACTCATTGAGTTCCTTTGTATTAATAGATGTACACAGATTGTGCGTCTTCATCTCCTCGGGCTCCTTCAGCTAAAGACAACACTAGAAACCCCAAAACGGTCCAAGAGGGATCCCAAGTGAACAAATCATCCTCCAAGACGGCCTCAAGACGACCCAACAATGGCCCCAAATACTTCCCAGAAGGGAAGGGAAGGCCACGATCCCCCTGGAAACACCTTACGAGTTCGCGCTCACGAGGCAATGATCCCTCCTGAAAAGGTGTGGGTCCGGGGCTTCCAAGACGGCCGAAGCATGCCACCAAGGCCGCCAAGATCGCCAGAGATGCTTTGAGGAAGGCGCCGCAGCGACAAAAGATGGCCTCAGGACAGCCCAAGAGGCCCCCAACACAGCCGAAGAGGGCCACGGACATCTCAAAATCCTTGGCTCGCCCACAACGATGCTTGCACTTAGGGGTTCTTCCTTGTTGTCTTAGGAACTGGGCATGGGGGTCGGTCTGGCGGTCGCCGTCGCCGTCGCAGCCCTGTCGCCGCCCGTTGTCTGGCTCTTGGGGTCGGTCTGGCGGCTCCGTCGTCGCCGTCGCCGCCCCGTCGCCGCTTCAACGCTCCACACGGACTGCCCCGCGTAGATTCTCTTTTCTAAAACTGGAATATACCTCCCCCGTCGTTATCGCCCCCCCTTTTGGGTATGTAAATCATATATGATTATGACCACATGTCCATCCTAAATATGAAACTACACTATCCCAGGGGGGCCGGTATCGACTCCCCTGAGGCTCCCTTGTAAAAAAACAGTATGCGGTGACATGTTTTGCTCTAACATAAGGCTTTTCGCCAATCCCTTGCAGAAAAACAAGACGAACTGCACACGCGCGCGTCGTCGCGCGCGCATGCCGAAATCCTTCGAAAACCCAGATTTTCACAACATGTTATTACACGGGCTTCGCGCGCGCGCATGTCGAAATCTGTCGAACGCCCTTGCGCGTGTGCCGTCGCGAGAATCCTCTGCAAAAAACTAAGACGAAGTGCAGACGCGCGCGTCGTCGCGCGCGTATGGCGAAAACCTTCAAAACCCATCGGTTTCGGAAGGATTTCAAAATCGTGCGTCCAAAAACCTACCAAAGCCCAAGGTTTCGCAACACGCATTTTCAACAAAAGCGTGCGCGCGCGCTCTTGCGTCGTCGTCGTCGTCGTCGCCGTCCTCCCTCCTCCCGCGTCGTCGTCGTCGTCGCCTACGTCGTCCTCTGTCTTTCCTCGTGTTCGTCGTCGTCGTCCTCTTTGGCGTCGTGGTCGTTTCCGTCGTCGTTGTCGCCGTGGTCGTCCTTCCTCCTCCTCCCTCGTCGTCGTCGTCGTCCGTCGTCGGCGTCTCGTCGTCGTCCCTCCTATTTCGTCGCCGTCGTCGTCGTCGTCGTCGTTGTCGTCGTCGTCTTCCCTCCTCCCTCGTCGTTGTCGTCGTCGGCGTCGCCGTCCTTCCTCCTTCTTCGTCGTTCGCGTCGCCGTCCTCCCTCCTCCCGTCGTTGTCGTCGTTGTCGTCGTTGTCGCCGTCGTCGTCTTTCCTCCTCCCTCGTCGTCGTCTTCGTTGGCGTCGTCGGCGTCGTCGTCTTCGTCGTCGTCGGCGTCGTCGTCGTCGAATTCGTCGGAGACGTCGTCGGTGTCGTCGTAGTCGTTGTCGTCGGTGTTGTCGTAGTCGGTCTTAAGAGGTTTTGCAAACCAAGTTGCGGGTGGGTGGGTGGGATGTTTGCAAGAGCGTGGGATGTGTCAAATCCTTGGTAAAAATCAAGTCTCTTTTCTAAAAAGAGAATAGACTCTACCCCCCCGGAGTTATCGGTTCCCCCTGGGGTTATACAATTTCATATATATACATATATTCTGCACACTCGTCCGTCCTAAATATGAAATCGTACCATCCCAGCTAGGCCGGTTTCCCCCCCTGAGGTTCCCTTGTAACAAAAAAAAAACATTATGCGGTGACGTTGTTTGCTCTAACATAAGACTTTCCGCTAAACCCTTGCAACAAATGAAACGAAGTGCACACGCGCGCGTCGTCGCGCGTGCATGCCGCCATCCCTCGAAAACCTCAAAAACCTTCGGTGCGGAAAAGATTTCGCAATCGAGTTTCCAAAACAACAACACAGGGTTTCGCACCACTGATTTGCTAAAAAAGCTTCCGCGCGAACTCTTGCGAAATCTTTAGAGAACCATGGGTTTTTCAAGATTTTCAGAACATGCTACAAAACGGGCTTCGCGCGCGCGCATGTCGAAATCTGTCGAACGCCCTTGCGCGTGCGCCGTCGCGAGAATCCCCTGCAAAAAAATAAGACGAAGTGCAGGCGCGCGCGTCGTCGCGCGCGTATGGCGAAAACCTTCAAAACCCATCGGTTTCGGAAGGATTTCAAAATCGTGCGTCCAAAAACCTACAAAAGCCCAAGGTTTCGCAACACGCATTTTCAACAAAAGCGTGCGCGCGCGCGCTCTTGCGTCGTCGTCGTCGTCGTCGCCGTCCTCCCCCCTCCCGCGTCGTCGTCGTCGTCGCCTACGTCGTCCTCTGTCTTTCCTCGTGTTCGTCGTCGTCGTCCTCTTTGGCGTCGTGGTCGTTTCCGTCGTCGTTGTCGCCGTGGTCGTCCTTCCTCCTCCTCCCTCGTCGTCGTCGTCGTCCGTCGTCGGCATCTCGTCGTCGTCCCTCCTATTTCGTCGCCGTCGTCGTCGTCGTCGTTGTCGTCGTCGTCTTCCCTCCTCCCTCATCGTTGTCGTCGTCGGCGTCGCCGTCCTTCCTCCTTCTTCGTCGTCGCCGTCCTCCCTCCTCCCTGGTCGTTGTCGTCGTTGTCGTCGTTGTCGTCGTTGTCGTCGTTGTCGCCGTCGTCGTCTTTCCTCCTCCCTCGTCGTCGTCTTCGTTGGCGTCGTCGTCGTCTTCGTCGTCGTCGGTGTCGGTGCCGTCGTCGAAGTCGTCGGAGACGTCGTCGGTGTCGTCGTCGTCGTTGTCGTCGGTGTCGTCTTAGTCGGTCTTAAGAGGTTTTGCAAACCAAGTTGCGGGTGGGTGGGTGGGATGTTTGCACGAGCAGTGGAGAGGACAGCTTCAAGACGGTCAAAGATTAATTGCACCTTATATATTGCACCATCAATTGCACCTCATGTACACCATCAATTGCACCTCATGTATTGCACACTATCCATTGTACCACATATATCGCCGCACATAGATTGCACAAAATACATTGCACCACATAGACATACAAGTACAGACATTGCACCATAGATAATGTTCCACCTAGACGGTACCACATATATTGTATACCGTCTATTGCACCACATAGACTGCACACCACATGTTGCACCACATAGATTGCACCGCATCTTTTGCCGGGCGTTGGCAGAACTGGCTTTAATGGGACCTGGTTTAGTGATGTGTACTGGCGCCCCGTTCAACTAACCAGAATTGCCGTCACCCGAAAGAACACCAGCTACGGCAGATCGAATTTAGTGGTTCTGGCCAATTCAGGGGCTCCGGGGCCCTACCACTAACCGGGGTCCTGGCTATACCCGATAATGTTCCACCTAGAACGTACTATATAGATCGCACCACATAGCTTGCACGACATAGTTTATACAGCATACATGTATACTTTACCACATGCGTTGCATACCATGTGCTGCACTGTATTGATTGCACCACCTAGATGCACAACATGGGTTGCACCACATATATTGCTCAACCTAGAAGATACCACACATATTGAATTTCAATGTTTGACCACATTGATTACACTACAAGGTTTGAAATCTGTAGATTGTACCACATCGATTGCTGGAGACACACACACACACACACGCACACGGTCTGCGGTCCACGCTGGCAAACATGCTCCCAGCTTCCTCCAGCTCCAGACGTCTCCAAGACGCCTCAAGATGCTTCCAAGACAGAACCCCCAGCTGCCCAAGAGGGCATTCGGAGGGACCCGAGACGCCTTTAGTGGGCCCCTCGACAGCTCCGCGGAGGCGCCTCGGAGGCGCCGCCGACCGCGCGGCCGCGGCGGAGCGGGAGCAGGCGTGGCGCAGGAGTAGCCCGACGCCCTGATGCTGACGGAGATGGGCACGGATGGCGCGGCGGCGGCTGCGGAGGCGGCGGCCGACGTCCAGCCGATGCTGGAGGATGACGCTTGGGCTGACGACCTGCCCGTGGTGAGGCAGCCTCGAGGCCCGCCTGCCAGCACAGGCTCGCGCAGAAGGAAAGGCAAGGGCACGGGCAAGGGCGGCGAGGTCGGCGACAAGAACAAGCGTGACCACCTCGAGGTGAGGCAGCTGAGGAAGCTCGTCATCCGCCTGAGGGAGTGCGCGGGTTTGCCCCGACCCGCATCCGAGGTGCCCTTCGACCACGGCGTGCTGGTCGCAATGGCCGTCGAGCTCGAGGAGCTTGCGGCCGTGTCCGACGGCACGCGCGGCGGGGGCAGCGGAGCGGACAGCGCGTGGTGGTCCACGCGGCGCTGGCGGCCCGGTGCCCCGTGTGGGCGGCCGCGGGAGGAGCAGCGGGGGGTGGTAGGCGGCCTCGCCACTACATGTGCAAGGCCCTCGCCCCTTCCCCCTCCCGCGGGCATCGCGGTGCTCGTCGGCATCCTTGAGCCCGACGGCCCGCAATGCGAGGTGTACCTCACGGTCGGGGGCCTTGCCCGTGGGGCGGGCCCCCGTTCCGGAAAGCCGTCGACTGCATCCAGTTCAAGGTCGGGAGGTCTGGCTCCTCAGGTGGAGACCAGGACCCCCGCGGCGGGCGAGTCGGCACCGATTCGTCTAAGGCTCGTGGATCCTCCTCCTCCTCCTCCTCCTCGTCCCCCTCCTCCTCCTCCTCCTCCTCCTCCTCCTCCTCCTCCTCCTCCTCGTCGACCACGCCCTACCCCACGGGAGAGGCCCCCCGTGATCCTCCGCGCGCACCTTGCACCGGGCCTCCCACTCCGCCGTCTTGGTTGCCTCGGATAGGCGCGGGCGTGCCCCCCCCCACCCTCGAAGACGAAGCCAGGTCACCGCGCCTGTCCTTTCGATCCTGGCATCGCATTTTTGCACAACGGGCGACGTTGCCTTGCTTCCGGCCGAAAGACTCTCACGGACAGCTCGGGTTCGAAAAATGCATTTGAAAGATGGTGATCCAAGGCTCTGGTCGTAGTTTTCTACGATACAGATTTTGTTCGTGGCGTGGGAACTGAGGGGCGATGCGAGACAAGTGGTGATTTTCGCCGCAACCGTGGAGAGAAGAGCGACCCTCCTATGCTCTTATACCCGAGCCGCATTGCCCGGAGCGATTCCTTCCTCGGATCCTCTCAAATTACCTAGGCAAAACCAGGATGAGGACAAGTTCGGACAAGGATATTGAAGGGGCCCAGGGACACACAACTGAATCATCCCAGTGCGAACCTACCTAGGAGTTGGAGCCCCTAGGAAAGCAGCATTAGTAGTGACAGTAAAGCTAAGCTAAAGCTAAGCTAAAGCTAAGCTAAAGCTGAGCTAAAGCTAAGCTGAAGCTAAGCTGAAGCTAAGCTGAAGCTAAGCTGAAGCTAAGCTAACGCTGAGCTAAAGCTAAGCTGAAGCTAAGCTAAAGCTAAGCTGAAGCTAAGCTAAAGCTAAGCTGAAGCTAAGCTAAATATGAGATAACGCTAAGCTAAAGCCAAGCTAAAGCTAAGCTAAAGCTAAGCTAAATCTAAGCTAAAGCTAAGCTAAAGCTAGGCTAAAGCTAAACTAAAGCTAAGCTAAAGCTAAGCTAAAGTTAAGCTAAAGCTAAGCTGAAGCTAAGCTGAAGCTAAGCTAAAGCTAAGCTAAAGCTAAGCTAAAGCTGAACTAAAGCTAAGCTAAAGCTAAGCTAAAGCTAAAGCTCCCAGGGGACTGGGGAAACCGCTCCCAGGGGACTGGGAGAACCGCCCGGGGCGCGTTCCACTGCCCGGCCCCTTTAAGCCAAGCGAGTAAGAACCCTTCTAGGCAGAGCCTAGGTAGGGAATCAACGCAATTTCTCGGATTGCCCATGTTTGTCCATAGTTCTCCGTATTTCATAAGAGCGGGGACGTCGGCAGTCTGCGAGGCTCTGAAGTAGCCAGCCGCAGGCTCCTAATGACACAACGAGCTCGCCGCAAGCGCCGATTTTTTTCTAGAGAAATGTGGGTGGGTCGCGCGGTGGGTCGCGGGTGGTCCCGGGTGGGGCGCGGGTGTGGCGCGGGTGGGTCGCGGGCCGGGTCGCGGGCCGTGTCGCGGGTGGGTCGCGGGGGGGCGACGACAACAAACAACAAACAACAAGCACAAAAAGAACAAAAGCAACAACAACAACAACGATAACAACAACATCAACGCCAGCAACAACAACAGCAACACCAACAACAACACCAACAAGAACAGCAGCAACAACAGCAACAACAACAGCACTAAGTCTAATACTGTTCGCTCTTACATGCACGCGTGTCTCTCATCATGCAGATCCCATACCCTCGCTACCCGCCCTCTTCATCTTCGACTGTACCCCTTTAAGAATATTTCTTTGCCTGACGTGTCATTGGCGCAGCCCCTCAAACAGCAAAACGAGAGAGAAAAGAGAACGGGAAAGAGCGATGACGAAGGCTGCATCGGGGCCGCGAAGGGCAGCGAGGGGGCCCACGAAGGGCTGCAACGGGGCCGCGAAGGGCGGCGAGGGGGCCGCGATGGGCTGCAACGGGGCCGCGAAGGCCAGTGAGGGGGCCACGAAGCGCTGCAACGGGCCACGAAGGGCAGCGAGGGGGCCACGAAGGGCTGCAACGGGGCCGCGAAGGGCGCGAGGGGGCCTCGAAGGGCTGCAACGGGACCACGTAGGCCAGCGAGGGGGCCACGAAGGGCTGCAACGGGGCCGCGAAGGGCAGCGAGGGGGCCGCGAAGGGAAGGGCTGCGACGAGGCCGCGAAGGGCGGCAAGGGGGCCACGAAGCGCTGCAACGGGACCACGAATGGCGGCAAGGGGGCCACGAAGGGCTGTAACGGGGCTGCGAATGGCGGCAAGGGGGCCACGAAGGGCTGTAACGGGGCCGCGAATGGCGGCAAGGGGGCCACGAAGGGCTGCAACAGGGCCGCGAAGGCCAGCGACGGGGCGGCGAAGGAATGCAACCGGGCCAGTAAGGACAGCGAGGGAGCCGCGAAGGGCTGCAACGGACTGTAACTCGGGGGCCAGGGGCGCAGTTCCACCCTTGTGATTTTCCCTGATAAAAACCAAGGTGCCAGCCCAGGGGGGAATACTTAAATCCGCCGGCCCCCTTGTGGGGCCACCAGGCTGTAGGCCGAAGGTTCGCAGTTTCCTGTGCCAGTTGCAGCTTCCAGTTTTCACTGTTACAGTCTTGCTTCTTGCTGCTTACTGTTCATTGTTACAGTTATGCTTCTTGCTGCTTGCTGTTCCTTGTTGGTGGACCGCGCGAGGGGGGGAGACCCCAAACGAGCATTTGTACCACGCCCTGGGAGGGTTCTCAGAATTTCTGGGGCAGTAAAAATTCACACCCCTCACGCAGATCGGCAGGATCAGGTTCCAAACACACACACACAAATGTGCCACATTTCTGAAATTCGGCGGCACCCCTCACGCAGATCGGCAGGGTCAGGGTCCAAAAACACATGGTTTTGCCACAATTCTAAAATTTGCTGGCACCTCTCACAAAGATCGGCGGGGCCAGGGTGCAAACAAATATTGGATTTGCCATATTTCCAAAATTTGCTGTCACCCCTCACGCAGATCGGCGGGATCAGGGTCCAAAAAACACAAGAGATTTGCCACATTTCTGACATTCGGTTGCACCCCATCACGCAGATCGGCGGGGTCGGGGTGCAAAAACACAAAGGATTTGCCACACTTCTGAAATTCGGTGGCACCCCTCAAGCAGATCGGCGGGGTCAGGGCGCAAAAAACTTGGGATTTGCTGCACTTCTGAAGTTCGGTGGCACCCCTCACGCAGATCGGCAGGGTCAGGGTCCAAAAACACAGAAGATTTGCAAAATTTCTGACATTCGGCAGCACCCCTCGCGCAGATCCATAGGGTCACGGTCAAAAAAACACAAGAGATTCGCAACATCCCGACACTGCTTCACGGCGGCGCCCAGACCTCACGATTTAGCTTTTGCATCTCCCATTCTCCGAATCAGGCGGCCGGTGGCATGGGGCGAAGCCTTTACGGATTTAAAAACACGAATGTCACTGGAGGGGGGACCAACAGTAGTTATTCTTCAGCTGTGAGAAACCAACACCACCAACAACAATCCGCACCGCAGAGGCTCACTTCAACCACGCGCCCAGTGACAGTGCATGACCGTTCGCCCCCCTCACTATGATAAGATTATGTGCGTTGTGTTTGTTGCTCCCTCCTGAGATCTGCTGGGAATGTCCGAGAACGCGCGGGCCTGGAATGTACCGGGCGTCGAGACTGTTCAGAACGCCCCCAAAAACTCTGACGGGCAACCCAGCCCAGATCATCCCCGGCAGTCGATTTTCGGTGGAAAAAACTTCTATCGCGCGGTCGCGACCGTAGGGGGCACGATGGGACGGCGCGTCGGGCTCCCCGTGGACATTTCGAACACGTCGACAATCCGCTCAGCACCCGGATTCGCGACCAGAGGCCGGAGGCCGAATTCTGGCCGCGGCCGTGTCGTCCAGAGCGATGCGGGAACGTTTGTTGGTGGCGGGTGATCTGGTTCGTGCGAGTTTTATGCTCGTCCTGGGCCTGCCTGGCCGCCCCCCCGCCCTGGCCGCGTGGCCCAAGCCTCTCATCGTCCCTCCCAGAGGATCGGATCAGCACTGAATGAATGCTCCACGTCGGCCTGTGCCGAAGCACAGGTAGGAAACGCAGGTTTGCAACAAAATCTTCGGGCAAGCGCCCCTGGCCCAGGCGTGACACCACACCGTGCGAATGACGGCTGTCGCCGTGATTGAAGGCTTGTGGGAGCCAGCCAGGGAGGTAGACATGGGAGGTTCGAAAGCCCAAATGCGCGCGCGACAAGCCAGCCTGGAGGAAGGGCGCGGGAAAGGAGAGAAGAACGGCACAGTACTTGCGACAGAGAAGCCTGAGGTCCGCGCTGAGAAATAATAGCTCTTTGTTGGCCCTCTCCGATTCCTCTGGCATTCCACCCAAAACCTGTGCATCTCGCTGAAGTTATGGCTTTCGTATGCCATCAATATTTATTATGCCGGTTTCTTCTTTCTTCCCGCTTCCATGTCTGTACTTTGTCTGCGCAGCGCATTGCGTATCTGCGCCAGTTCCTTCTTGTAGCCTCATCTCTCTCTTTCGACTCTCAACTTTATCATGTCTGCCACTAAGGAATGACGTAGTAAAAGCGGCCACCCCCCTTGTCCTCCTGCTTCTTCCTGATTGGGAAAACTTCTTTCATGGCACTCCTGCCTGCCACGCTCCATGTCTACCACATCTGGTCAGCCGTGGGGCTTTCCTGTAGCTCTTTCCATTCTCCTGCAGTTACCCCCCCTGGGTTGCACTCCGGGAAAAAAACCTCGTGAATGCTTCTCCTGGGAGTTCGGCAGGTACCTCCTGGCTTCCATTCCAATGAACCTGGCTAGTGCATCTCCGCGGAATACTGGAAGGATCCGCCTGGGTCGCACTCCGAGAACACGTCGCTAACGCTCCTCCTGGCTGCTGTGGTTGGGCGACCTGCAGGTGGCGGTCGAACGCGCTCAAGAATCCAGCCCTCTGGCGACCTTTCCTCAGGCATTACATCAGCATGTTGCGGTCCACCTCTGTGTCTGCTCTTACTTGTCGGTGCTTGCTCAAGAAAACACGGATGCTCCAGTCCAATATCCATGCCCCAAAAAATGTGGTATCCGTGCCCTCTCGCTCTCAGTTCTGTACTTGTGTGGCCACTCCTCTCAACGCAGCGCACCTCCGCACAAGGGGTAGGGCCCCCGACGGCATCGCTACGTGGTCTATATTGCTCGTCCTCATCTTCTCGTCTTTCACGCAGTAGTAGGTAG